TTAAGGTGCCACTCAAATCTCATCACCTAACCATTAAATACAAGAAGGAACTCCAGCATGTTAAATACTATCATCGTTTTCAAATCATTTTTGAATCATACTCAAACTCCTTACTGCATACCTGAAATGATCCTACTATCCTAAATGCTCGCACCTGCGGATTGTGTGCGATTTCGTGATCAGCATCTCAAACCCTCTATGGACAGCCCAAAAAAATCCGTTTTATAATATTAGGGTCCATAGATAGCGAAATGTTATCAAACGAAACGCGAACTCAAACTTTCACTGCTGAATTGTGACACAACAAGATCAATCGTACAGAGATCTGCTTTTTAATTACATTGCTATTTACGTGCTGCGGTTTGAAAGAATCCCATGCGTCTATGAAGGCTATGATGCCTAATTCTGAAATCAAAAAACGTAAATGTTGTCCAACTGAATTCGAGTTTTCTAAGGTGCGTTCGCCATACTTAACCAAGCATGATTTCTTAAGGATCATTCCGAATAAATGGGCATTTGCGTACGTTTCGTTGGGACCGGCTGCATATTTCGGATCAGAGGTGTCGTATATTGCCTACTGCGTCCAACTACATGCTCTTTTCTACACGTTCTTATCATTTCCGCTTTCGTTTGGCTTCCGATATCACGTTCTGATCCGTCCTATGCCGAAAGTCAAGCGCTGCATTTTGATATGTTTCGGCCTGTGGCTAGTGGCATTCGCTCAGCACGTAAGTCCTTATTATTACTGAGGTAGTCGCAAGAGTTAGCCGATTCGGTTCTTCAGCTGGATGCGGCTCAGATACGGTCATTTCGTGTCACGTTGGAGAGAAATCAAATTGCCTCCGCGACTTAGCTACAACAAAAATTATTGTTGAGACCTTTTTGTCAACTTATCCATTCTGCAAGGCTTTTGTCAGCTCCTAAAACCACTGGTGTTGCGAACATCACGACGCAACTTCAATTTCTACCCAATGTGACCCCAAATACCAAGTTTAGCTGCACCGCATCCTGCTGAAGCAGCTAATCGGCTAGTCTGGCGCCTACCTAAACTCGCTTGAAGAGTTATGAATGCACTTCAACCTTTTCATTCAGATATTGTTCATTTGTTCTGAAACTGATGCAAGTTTCATCAGAGAATATCTGGCTAAAAATAAGCCGCAATACAACATTACTGATCTCGTTATCTCCGGAAATCATATGATTAAAAATCCTCTAACTGCCATCACGCTTGCCACAATCGTCCTGCCAATGTTTCCCATTTATGTGCTAGTGATCTATTTTTATAAAAAGGTTCATGGATATCTTGACATCAACACTACGGTGAGTAACATTTCAGTAATTTGAGCGTTATACACAGGGTCAAGCGTGGGGTGTGGCACGCCACATCTG